AAAAAAGACTGATTTGAATTTTTTTTATCTGGTAATCGAATTTTTTTTGTTAATAAAATAAAATTTGGGACTTTTTTCATAAACTAAACCAAAATATTGAGACTTTTCTGAGATTTTCCGATAAATTTTATACAGATTTCCCGATAGGTAAATAAAGAAACAAACTATACAATAATATTCTAACAATTTCAACCAATTTCATTGTTTATATCAAGCTAACTTAGTTGAAGTAGAATGAAGATAAATGTAGTGGATAGGAATGAAAATATAACTACAACATTGGTCATTCTTTTTAGATAAGGTAATTTTAAAAAATATGTCAGCAAAGTGAAGTATTTATCTATTGTGCCTACTTTGTTTGTTTCATTTTACATGCTTTTTTTGGACATTCCATAGATATATGATTATCATACGATTAGGTCATCAAAGTTTGTCAAAGATCTAAAAAGGTCGCCCAAAAATTAAATCGGTATCATTTGTACAAATTGTGGGAAAATAACAAAAATATCCTTGGCTAAATTTTATCTTGCGATTAAAACATAAAAATGAAATTTTTGGTGGTCAAAGAGTTAACTGATTGAGTAACTTTTTAAATGACACCAATCTTAAAATAAAGTGGCATCCGTTGATATTTCTATAGTTGGGTACCTTTTTTTTTAAAAGAATCTTTATTTTTGACAAACTTCAATTGTTTCCTTATGTATTAACCTACTTCAACTCTCTTCTAAATACTTAGTTAGTTAAGTGGTTATATTTATATACCAAAGACATCATAGCAACATGTTGCTTTTGGTTTGGTGTTTTGCAATCACTTGTTCTACATTCTCGATTGAATAAACATCTCCACGTCTTCTCCGTTTGATAAATATTTGGTTGACAATTTCGATTTGCTTAGTTTCCATATTTGTGTGTGGGTTTGGTTTATTTCATAACCAACATTAAGGTACCGTTTGATATATGAGACTAGACGCAGAACAATTTTCTTTTCAAGTGGAGTTTGGTGGAATGGAACATGGATAAATTCCAATTTCAGCTGGTAGCTAAAGGATCGTCGTTAAATTTTTAAAACTTACACGAGATTCCAAAACAAAGTTGCTATCTTTTACAATAAAATAAATGAATTAACGAATTATGAATCAGTAATGACTTTTTAAACAATAAGGATAAGGTTTAAAAATCACTACCTGATAAAATTGCATAACTAACCCAAAAAAGGTGATGTGACTATGCTATAGTCCGTATAACTTTTATAATAGTGTCTAGAAACAAAATTAAGTGTAATTATAAATTCACCTTAGTCATATTAAAGTTACTCTATTTTATAACTTCGTTTTCTACATTTAGCAAGTCCAAGTCGATTTAAGGTTCACAAAATAAAAAATAAAGTATTTAGAAAAAATAGCGTAAAAAATAATGTATGAAATAATAACATAAATGAAACAGATATAAAACTTACTATAGGAAAGAAAATCAATTTAAGCTTGAATTAATTAGTAGTCTAACGTGAATATCTATTAAGCACTACTCTCACATATGACTATAAATGAACCGAACGAACACGAACGGGGGTTTGCTCATGTTCGTTCATTTAAGTTAACCGAACAAATAAACGAACACGAATAGATAAACGAACGTGTTTTCTTGTTCATGTTCGTTCGTTTAACAAATTACATTGTTCATGTTCGTTCGTTTATATTCGTGAACATGTTAAACGAAAAATAAACGAACAAAGATAAACAAACATAATTGAACATATATGAACATAAACGAATATATAATATTGTGTCATCCTCTAATTTTCAGGACCAATTAAAACTTTTCTATATGCTTTTAAAATCATTTATTTAATTTTGCGGAAAAATCTCAGTACAAAAGATCATCTTGATTACAAATGTTTGTTTCCAAAATGTTAAAACTCTAAGGATGTCATAACCAATACAAATACATAAGTTACAACATAAAGACCTGATGGTCCCGAATACTATTGCAAGCTGTCTCTTAACCAATCAAGTTCTAGTAGGTTAAGTCTTGATACATGTGATGCATATAAACTAAGTGGGTCAGGTTGGGAAACCTGATGAGATACATAGAGATTTCAATCCCACAATATTGATATGATAATATTCCTTAATTATCAAACCTGCAAAACCAACCGTTTAACATTCTATATCAATATAGGCTTACATTCCTACATATCTATTTCTGCCGATCCTCACAGATCCTAGGTCATGATTATCAAGGGAAAATTATCTCGCCTGATGAACCGTTAAAAGATTGACTACATAACTATGTGCTTCCTTGGTATGTGTAAGTCATAAAGAATATACAAACATACCATTATAGTTGTCTGATCAGGACCTACCATTTCTGGTTATCCAAGAATATGCAGACACACCATTATAGTTTTCTGATCTGGACCCATCATATCTGGTCATCCCAAGGCAAATACTATATCGTACTCCCGTACGGAGCTACCATACATCGACACCTGAAATTGTCACGGAACAGAACTTTACTCTCTGTTCCTAGGCTACCCACATTCTCCTAATAAGACTACCTTATATCAAACTTAATTGAACGAGGTACCTTCCACAAGTCTAAGTTTATTTTCTTGACTAGATTACAGTGCATGTAACCAACTCTATTTTTGGGTGACACTAACCTATATCTAGTGTATTTATATTCCCTACAGAGCATTAGGTATTATTATTCTTTTATCTTCTCAGCAATGCTACTTTTAATACTATTATATGATATTATCTATTTAATCCTAAGATAAAATAGAGCCATATCTGGTTCGCACATAGCATAGTATATATATATATATATATATATATATATATATATATATATATATATATATATATATTAACATATAATCCAGGCAATAAGCATATAATTCATATACGATTCTCAGCATATATTTAATACTTTAAATTAATACTTGTATTAAATCATGTTCATGAAAGAGACTATGCACTCACTTGACTTAGGTGGGTGACTGGTGATCTGGGCAGAGTTTCGCCTAAGACCTTAGATATACCTTGACGTGACCCAAGTATAAGTAATACAAAGTTTTAGTCTAATGATCCTAGAGACTAATAACATTTTAGATCCTTACTAATCTCACTGTCAATATCAAGATCTATCAAGTAAGGATCATCTAGGCAGGACAATTGGGAGGCAAGATCATTTCGACATATAGCTTTTATAAAATCCAACAACTAAGCCAACTTTACCATTCTAGACATCTCTCCCGTAAGTAGATCAATCAGTATAATGACATAGAGTTACTAATAAATCTTATTTATTGGTTCATAATAATGACTTATGACTATAAATATAAGTTACACTGAAAAAGATAGAATATATCTTAATTTACAGAGCTTTTAAGCGAAAACCGGGAGATTACGCAGGCAGAATCTCGACTAGAAAGCTTTTATTGATGGATTTTTAGACTTCCCGAGACTCTACTAGAATATTCCTAAAAGTTGGGAAAAACTAGATTGAAAGTTCCAAAGGTTTTGAGAGAGAATGGTTGAGGATTTGTGAGGAAATCAACAAGGAACGAAGGGTATACATACGCTCAGCAGGGATGCGTGCCGCGCAAGGCATGTGTGCGTCGCACACATCAATCTTATTGGTTCCATCTCTTGCCTGCAATGTGTCGTCGCCTGGTTAGTCCATATAGTCTCTTTCTAGAAGGTGTCACATGTCACCATCCTATGGTGCCACGTGTCAAGCTTTAGTGGAGCCACGTTGACGTGTCTCTCGGAGGAAGGTGGCTCCCGACCATGCCACATGGCGCCCTCTCGCGGTGCCACGTCATCAGCGCGCGATACAATTCGCACGCACAGATTTCTAGATATTCGAAATGGCGTATTTTCTTCATATGAGCTCCGTTTTCAATGTTCTTTATATTGTCAGAAAGCTCTCGACGAGATCTACAACTTTCCTTTTGGTCCCAATAGCTATTTCTCACTCTATCAAAAATTTATATTTTTGATAGGCTAAGACTGTTAGAAATCGCTGCTAAAATTATAACTCCTACATATGGACTCCGTTATTGATGTTCTTTATATCACCAGACTCCTATTGAATAGATCTTCAATTTTCGTGCAGATTGTTTAGGCTAAAATTTAACCGATCTTAAATTCAATTTCTGTGTCGCGCACTATTATACCTGGTTGCACAGAAACTTCGACAAATTATATCTTTTCCATACGGAGTCGGATTTGGACGTTATTTATATGTACTGAATCCTTGTCACATATACTACGACTTTTGTCAAAATTATAAATAACCTTCTATAAAAAAATCATTTTTAATGCTTGATACATCTTAATTGTCTAGCCAAAATCTGCGGGTGCTACAAATATAATAATGTAATCAAACACAATTAAACATATATGAATATAAAATGAACTTATATGAATGAACATAAATGAAAGTAAACGAACAACATAAACGAACGTTCACGATCATAATTCAACGAACGAGACCATTGTTCATGTTCGTTCGTTTAGTTAAAAGGACGAGAATTTGTGTTCATATTTGTTAATTTATTAAATAAACGAATATAAATGAACTTCCCGCTGAATGGTTTACGAACAGTTCACTGAACGTTTAGTTCGTTTACAACCATACTCTCACACCTCACCACAAACCAATAATCAAATGCCTACATCAATCGATGTTTTTCACCACAAAGACTCACACTATCATTAGTGTAATTCAAAGCTTTAGCCAATTACACAAGACTAAAAATTCAATATGTTTTGGAAATTATTGTTACATATGACTACAAACCAATAACCAAACACATGAGGTACACAAATAGATTCATCAATAAAATTTGTTTATTTGTAATCAAAATAAAAGCAAAATTGATTTTTTTTTGGAAACGGCAAATATTATTAATAAAAATAAAAAACCCCCCGTCCTAGTAAGTAACTATCAAGGGGAAGAAGACAAACAACAAAAACAGAGTATAAAAGTTATCAAATACAAAAAGGTGAAGATGACCATTCTGCCCATGAACAGATACCACCTTTACCCCTACATTTAACCCACATATATAGAATTGATTTGATTTGCTCAACACCATACGAAGGACTAATGAACACCTGATTGAACATCCGATCGTTACGATATTTCCATAGATTCCAAATTAGACCATAGCAAATGGTATGGAATCGAGCTTTCATTTTAGGACTCCTCCCCCAATTTGCAGCAAATCTGAGTAGTTCGCCAATGCTATTGAATGATTGATTTTGTATGCCGCACCAATTGAAGATTTTATCCCTCACATCTTTTGCAAACGGATACCTTACCAAAATATGATCAGCATCTTCTTCTCCGTTTATGCATGCCCCACACATAGTAGTTTGAGTCTCAATGCCTCTAGCTCTCAGACCCGTCATTGAAGCAATCCTCTGTTGAATTGCTCGCCACAAGAAGCAGTTAACCTTGATTAGGACTTCCTTACTCCATTTGATTATGGGAATATTTTGAGTTATTCCAGATTGACCATCAACTTTCCACCTTAGATCACATACTTTGAAAGCTCCATCTTTATCCAAGGAGGACTCCCAAGTGTCAGCTCCATTGACCAGTTGTACTGAAGATAGATCGTTCTGGAGGTTATTGAGCTCTGAAGTTAGACCCGCTTCGTGAGGACATGACCGCCAATTACCTGCAAAAAAGCCCTCAAAAAATCTGTCAGCCACTGTACATTTTTTCCTAGTATTAAGAGCATAGAGAGAAGGATATTTGACTTTTAACGCCGTCGAATCAATCCATTTGTCTATCCAGAATAAGGTATTGACACCAGATTTAACCTTTAGTTTGAATATGTCATCGATTTCAACCCCATTTTTGTGTAGGTCCTTTTTTGTCGCCACAATGTTGTTCCATACCCCACTGATCTTTCTATTAGCCATGTAATTATGAGGTTTATCATTTAGATTATGGATGCTTTTTATGACCTTGCCCCATAGTGCGTCTCCATCAACTTTCAGACGCCACCACCACTTAACCATTAAGCCGATGTTTAATGCTCTGATTGACCCCACACCCAATCCACCCTCTGATTTTGGAGCAATGACTTTATCCCATGAAACCTAGTGGATCTTCTTTTTGTCTTCTGTTTCCCCCCACAAAAACTTTCTTTGTATTCGTTCCAGTGTCTCTATGACAGCGATGGGTGCCATGAATAAGGAAAAGAAATAAGTGGGTAAATTTCCTAACACCGAAGTGATCAGTGTCAATCTCCCACCAAATGACAAAGTCTTAGACTTCCAGGAGGACAATTTGGCTGAAAATTTATCTATGATCGGTTTCAAATTTTTTGTAAGATTCATATTTGCTCCCGCAGGTACCCCGAGATACGTAAAGGGAAAGGAACCCACTGTACAACCGAGGATGCTAGCCCAATTCAAGGTTTCATTCGCAGATGCACCAATTCCAAATACTCTTGATTTGTGAAAATTTACCATTAATCCGGAAGCAGCATGAAAACACCTTAAGATCCGAGCCAAGTTTTTGAGATTGGATCTAGACCATTCACCCACAAACAATGCATCATCAGCGTAAAAAATATGGGTGAGGATGGGCCCATTATTGGGTAATTGAACGCCGTTAAAGATCCCTTTGTCTCTAGCCTCCATCAAAGCCGCATTGAGTCCTTCCATTGCTATGATGAATAGGAACAGGGAAAGAGGATCACCTTGACGAACACCTTTTGAGATCTCGAACTCATCAGTCGGAGAACCATTGATGATAACCGAGGGGCGAGAAGATTGTAAACATCCACGAATCCAAATCCTCCATTTATTCCCAAAACCCATTTGCTCGAGAATAGAATCAAGATAACCCCAGTTTATTGAGTCAAATGCTTTTTCAAAGTCCACCTTGAAAAGCATAATTTTCTTTTTCACTCTCATAGCCCATGAGTATAGCTCATTGACCACCAACGGACCATCAAGAATGTTCCTATCTTCAACATATGCAGACTGGACATCGCCAATGACCATGCCTATGACTGTTTTGAGTCGTGTAGCTAAGATCTTCGAAATAAGTTTGTACATACAACCAATGAGGCTAATAGGATGGAAGTCGGATAGAGAGGAAGGGTCTTTTACCTTGGGTACAAGTGATATGAATGATGAATTGCACCCCCTGGCAATGGTTCCAAATTTGTCGAAGTGAAAAACAAAGTTCATCACATCACACTTCAGAGTATCCCAGTATGTTTTGATGAATTTTAACGTGAATCCATCAGGTCCAGGTGCTTTCTCACCACCATATGCCCATACTGCAGCTTTCACTTCATCAAGACTAAATGGTGCTTCTAACTTAATAGCATCCATCATGGAGATTGATTTCAGGAACGAACTAGTGAACTTGGGCCTTGAAACGTGAGTCTCAGTGAATTTATTTTTGAAGAATCGTAGAGATACACCCTTGACTTCGGCCACAGAAGTAGCCCATCTTCCATTTACCATCAACCCATTGATCTTGTTCCTTCTGCTTTTTCCATTTATGTAGCCATGAAAGAACTTAGTGTTTTCGTCTCCCTCCATAGCCCATTTGACTCGAGATTTCTGTTTCAGGTCTAGAATCGCTAATTTTTCTAATTCAAGGATTCTTTGAAGTCCTTGACTGCGTGTCGCGAGCTCAGTCTCAGTTAGCTGTCTAGATTCCACAAACCTTTCGAGTTGTGCAACATCATCTTTGATTCGTAGTATTTCTTGATTTTCTGCCTTATCTGACTGCTTCTTCCATTTTTTTATCTCCCCCTTCAGATACCTGAGTTTGGCAGCCTAATATGAGTTTGGACTACCATACCCAACAAAGCTTTCCCACGCCATATGAACTGTGTTATCAAATCCAGTCTTCAGTATCCATGAGTTGAATAGTTTAAATTGAGGTGGTCCAAAGTCAGTGTCATGGGATATCAGGGTTATCGGGCTGTGGTCTGACAATTCACGGGTATGTGCAGTGGCCACAATTGATGGAAAGGCATTAAGAAAGTTTGCACACGCGAGGAACCTGTCCAGTCTACTAAGTTTAGCACCTACTCTAGACATAAATGTGAATTTCTCACCACCCATGCTAAAGTCTCTAAGCTGCGCGTCTAGAATGAATTTGTTGAAGGCGGATGTGCTCGCCGGGCAAAATATATAGTTGAATCTTTCATCGCTCCTCCTAACTGCATTGAAGTCACCAAATAAAACCCAATTGCCTGGTTTTGATCTTTTAATAGAGATCAACTTCCTCCATAAGATTTTTTGATCACCAATGTCATGTGGCCCATAAATATTAGCAAGAATCGTATCACCATTGATACCAATCCAAGTTCCAACGATAATGATAAACTGATTAGATTTTATTACTTCTTTTTTCTGAAAACAGTTAATGTTCCATATTGAGACTAACCCTCCAGATCTCCCGTCTAAGTCAACACCTTCATAATCATAATCTTGATCTCCCCAACAAGCGGCTATGTCTAAGTTTTCATGATGAGTCAATTGTGTTTCTTGAAGCCCAATGAAATTAGATTTGTGAAAATTTCTTAGCTTTATCACCCAGTTTACTTTTACATCCACCCCAATGCCTCTTACATTCAGGGACAAACAATTCATTGGATACATTGTTGCTCACCAGTAACTCCAAGCGTCTCAGCAAGAATACTATTGCTCACATCAATTTTAAATCCGATTGAGGCCCCAATCTCTACTGTTTGCTCGATTTCATTTGAGTGGGAGCCCGATGTACTAGTTTCAGGCACGTCCATAGGTTTCGAGTTGGTTGAATTTGTGTTCAAGTTCAAGTCAATGCTAGCTGATGTGAGATTGTCTAGATTTAACTGAGGCCCAAAAGTGGGTTCAGCGTTTGTATGTGACCGACCCAAATTAAAATGGAACGAAGGGGTTTGATTTGTGCATAGGCGCACATTATCCCACTTACGTTTTTTAGATTTAGGGCTACCACCAATTGGATCACAATCAAATGTGAATTCATCTTTATTAGCCTGCTGAGACGTAAACGAGAATGTAGGAGTGCCATTATTTGTTGGGAATGGCCCAAAACATCTGAGAGGGACCAAGTTTTCAATTGACCCAAGGAAAAGATTTTTCTCAGGCCCAAAAGATGAATTAGGGTCCATAAGGGAAACGATGGGAGATATAGTTGACTGTGATGCAGGGGCTGTGAAATCGGGGATTTCAACCGACTCCAATGCTTTGGGAGAACCGACGACATTAACTGTAGGATCGATAGTAGCGCCCGACGGTTCATCAGCGTGAGAGTCGCCTACCGGCGCCGGTTTCGTTTTGCCGGAATTGGTCTGAGCTTCCATCGTTGGGTCCTTTGCCATGAACGCCTGAGTTGAATCAGGTCGGAATTCACCATCTTCCGGTTTGTTTTCTTCTTCATCTATGGATGTTTCTGAAATCCCATCATAATCTTCTTCCTCATCTTCTGATTCCTCTACCTTATCAAAGGGGGCGGGTTTGAATGGTGACCAATCATCCGTAGTTGGTAGGATCCAAATTAATGGCCCAACTAGTTTTGGGGGACCATTCATGGCCCAACTAGTTTTGGGGATCCAAATTAATGTCAGTTGTTCACATGTAGTTTTCATATACGTATTGAAACGGCTAAAATGCATGCATCTGTGATGAGAATTGGTTTGAACAGAATGGAAAATGAATCTTCTTAAATTTAAAACACCAAGAGTAAAAATGAATCAACTTAAAGACAAAGAAGATGGTCGTCAAGAGGCCCTTGCATATTAAAATTTTATTAAATTTTATTTATTTATTTTAAAAAAAGTAATACAAAACCTCATAAATGGTCCTTGGGTAGTGAAATGACAAAAATACCCCTTACTTAACGGCTAAATGGTAACGGAGTGAGCCGGAAGGACCAAATGTTAAAATTTTTGAAACCACAGGGACCATCTGTGAGGTTTTTTGAACTTAGGGATTAAACTTGATATTTTCGAAAACAACAGGGACCATTTTTGAAGTTTTGTCTTTTTAAAATAAACATTTCTAACCTTTATATGTTAATTCCTGATTTTGTTAGATTACTTTGTAAGTTAAACTACGTTTATTTTATTTAAGTGTAACTTTTAATTATAGTCATAAGTCGTTATTATGAACCTATAATTAAGATTTATCAGTGATTCCAAGTCATTATACTGATTGATCTGGTTACGGGAGTGATGTTTAGACTGGATTTAGTGGGGTGTTTAAAATGAGATTTCCAAACAGTATATTATGTATACCAAACAGACCTTACCTCCGATATGATCCTACCTGGTTATTCCTTACTTGATAGATCTTGATGTAGACATTGAGATTATTGAGGAATCTAGACTATAATTATTATAGTCGCCAAGAATATGAAACTGGACTAAGGCTTAGTGCTTTATACGTCTAGGTCTCTTTAGAAGTGCGAAGCGAAGGGCTGCTGAAATCGTCAGTCACCCATTTTTACCAAGTGAGTGCATAGTCCCTTTCATGAACATGATTTATACAAACATAAATCAAAGTGTTAAATACTTGTTGGTAGTCGTATGTGAATTATATGCTTATTGACTGGATTATATGTTAATATATATATATATATATATATATATATATATATATATATATATATATATATATATATATATATTATCATCCTATGTGTGAACCAAATAGGGTTCTATTTTATGTTAGGATAAATAGATAACCCTATATAATAATATTAGAAGTAACATTGTTAAGAAGATAAAGGAACAATAATACCTAATACTTTGTAGGGAATATATATATATATATATATATATATATATATATATATATATATATATATATACACACACACACAAAAGATATATTAGTGTGACTCAAGAATAGAGTTGGTATTAGAAGTTGGTTACAGGCGTTGTAATCTAGTCTAGAGATAAACTAAGACTTATGGAAGATGCCTAGTTCAATTAAGTTTGATATCGAGTAGTCTCATTAGGAGAATGTGTGTAAGATAGGGACGGAGGTTAAAGTTCTGCTCAGTGACACTTTTAGGTGTTGATGTACGATAGCTCCATTCGAGAGTATATTATAGTATTCCCCTTGGATAATCAGAAATGGTAGGTCATGTTTAGACGACTGAAATGGTATGTGTGGTCATCTCCAAGAGTAGGTGACAACACTTGATCATTCTAGATAATCTTGTGAATACGTTGGTGGCGTGAGCTCATTACTCACAGACGTAGATGAAATGGGATACCATATTCATCAAATACTCTGATGACCCATATGTCTTTATGAATGCACCGAGCAAGGAAGCCCCTAGCTGAGTAGTCAATCTTTTTAACTATTCATCAGGACAGATAATTTCTCCCTGATAATCAGTGAGGATTGTTTGGAATAGATATGTAGGAATGTAATCCTATATGGTTATTGTATGGTAATAGTTGATTTTGAAGGTATGATAATTAAGGACTATTATCATAATAATATTGTAGGATTGAAATCCCTATGCATCTCACCTGGTTTCCCAACCTGGCCCACTCAGTTTATAGGCATCACAGGTATCAAGACGTAAGCTAGTGGAACTTGATTAGGATGTTGAGTGATTACCAGACAACCTGCAATAATATTCAGGATCATCAGGTCTTTATGCTGTAACTTATGTATATGTATTGATTATGACATCCTTAGGGTTTTAACATTTATTTGCAATCAAAATGATCTTTTGTACTAGGATTTTCCACAAATATAAATAAATGATTTTTAAAGCGTAAAGAAAAGTTTTGTTGGGATGTAGTGTTGCGTCATTGTATTTTATCTAATAGTCTATTTATGCAAATGGGCTTGGGATTGTCCACCCATCTTTATTAATTAGGGTTATAGTATTTAAGGTGCATGCATGCACCGTGTTTTGTAACTTTGTCAATATTCTTGTAACCCTAAACATGCCTCTACTGTAGCAATTCTTAATCGAGTTCTTCTGAGGCTGTGGCTTATAATCATTAAGCATATTTTGAATCATTGTCGTGTTCTTGTTCATAATCTGTTTTGAATCTAATCGTTATTTCAAGGATTAATATCCTATCAATTGGTATCAGAGCAGGAGACTGTGTAATCTATACGCATCTCTTCTGTTTATAAAGTCATTAGGGTTTCCGTTAATATTGGATCTGGTTTTGCCGTCATCACAGTTTTCTTGACGCTATTCTGTGATTCTAATATTACCCTAAAAAACTGCATCAGTTTACACGTCTGATTCTTAACAGGTCTCAAAAGGTATATCATCATGCAGCACGAAGATTCTCACATCAACTCCATAAACCTTTCTAGCAGCATTGGATCGACCACTAGGATCCCAATTCTTTTCCCCAATGAATATGAAGTATGGGCGCTTCACTTCGAAGATTGCGTTCTTGGTCTAGAAGACAACATATATCTGATATGGGAGGCCATCACTCTTGGAGCATTTGTTCACACTGGAACCAGAGGAGTCAATAAAACTCAATCTGACTACAACATACTTCTTCTTGAAGTTAAAGATGTCCCTCAAGATGAGAAAGACAAACTAATTAGCAATGTTAAGGCAATGAGAATCATTCGATTTGCTTTGCCAGCTGACACTTTTCGTCTGGTTAGTTTGTGTGACACAGCCAAAGCCATCTGGGATAGGCTTAAGGAACTCTACTCTACAGATGCAGATCTTGAGCACTCTACACAAACACTCTTGCTTTCAGAGTTTGGTGCCTTTACACAGATGCCTGAAGAGAGTTTGAGTCAAACTTTCAATTTTTACAATCATCTTCTAAGTAGGATGATGAATTACGACATTGGACGTGAAGTTATTGAACAAAAGGTCACGTTCATGAATGGGCTTAGATCTGAGTGGATGGCGGTGGTGTCAGCAGTCAAGGCACATGAGCAGTTCAAGAATTATACTTTGGCAAAGCATGTTGGAATCCTAAAGTCACATGAAAATGAGGTGACAAAAGAAGCAAAAGTTGTAATGGGATGGGATCTTTGGCTCTCGTTGCAAAGGGAAAGAAAGTAGCAGAGGATGGTTCAGAATCTGATCTTTCTGATTGTGAGCTTACAAATGAAGAGTTTGCATTGATGGTGTCAAATCCGAAGCGATTCGCAATGAAGAAGTTTCCTTCCATCAAGAACCGGAACTGGCAGGGAAGCTACAGCTCTGAGAAGGTAAAACAGGAGAGTGCAAATAGCTCACAAAAGGAAGAGGAAAAGAAGGAAAAGAAGCTAACTGGTGACTCTGGATATGATTGTAACTAGTGTCATGGCAAAAATCACTGGGCCAAAGAGTGCATGCTGCGAAGGTTGAATGAAAAGAAGGAAGGAGAAGACGATGAGACTTACCATCTCCGAAAGCTTGAGGAGATAAAGAAGAAAAAAAACTCTGATAATTCAATGCCTGATTTAATTGTGTAGGAAAAAGAAGTTGATGATGAATTTGGCAGGGTGGAAGTCTGGTCCACGGATTCTGAAGATGAGGAGGTTCGCAGGCCAACTCATTGGAGAAGTTTCGTTGCGAAAGAAGAGAATTCACATTCTGGAGGAAGATGTTTCATGGTGACAAATGATGTGTCACGGATGCGAGGATACGCCACTAATAGTGAACGTGGGAGTGATAGTTGTTTCGCTGCAAAACTAGTTTTTGAGCAAATCAGCGAATGCGATCAGATGATTAACAAGGTAAACTCTATTCTTGAATCTCTCAATATACATGTGTCAATATACGAAACGAAAAAATGAATTAAAATTCACATTTTCTAGTATCAGTAACAGTTTGAAACAAACTCATTTGACAAATTCTAACCTACCGATCAAATCAGCATGATTTCATCAAAGAGTGAGGAGAGACGTATGTGGATAGAGAAGATTGAGTCTGACTTAGCAAAGTCTAGGGATGAGTTAATTTACTTACAACGAGACAATTTAATGATTTTGAAACAATGTAATATTTTTTGTTTGATTGCGAAAAGGCTTTATCCTAATATTACTCAATTGCATCTTGATTGTGAGATTGGTCAAAAACTCCATAAGATGATATTGTCATTCCTTGAATTAAAGGAGGACGAAATTGACGCTGACTATTATAAGTGTGAATCCATCATATCATCTAACGAAACTTCAGAAGCTTACAAGATAGGCCTGGACAAAATTGAATCATTTATTAAGTCCAAAGACCACAAGAATATGCTAAAACAGCTTTTGGACGAAAATGACAAAAAGCAAATTAAATCTAACACTGTGCAGAAATTTGACTCATTGAGTACAAAGTTGAGTTTATATAACAAACTTAATGTTGATAACATATCTGAATTTGACGATAACAATGATATGAGTGAAATATCTGTAGAGGATGAGGTTGATTGTTCAGAGTTTGTTAAAAACGAACTTGATGTTGCGAAAGTCCCAATTTCTGAAAATTCTGTTGAATTCGCACGACTTTCTGAAAATAATCCAAATGTCTTAAAAGAAATTGTGACTGTTTTTCCAAAAGTCCAAATTGTCCCTAACCAGGTTTTCAAAATCAATGGGGTAAATAAGGCTCCAACAGTCGAATTAACGTCCTTAGTTGAAGAAGACAACGCAGATGGATGTGATGAGTAGTTTTGGTCAACTCCTATCGATAATGCTGACGAAACAATTGGTCTCTCTGAAAGGATCTCATGGAGAGTAAAAGGAAGATACGTAGCAGAACCTTTAAACAAGTTCAAGTCCAGGTACGATTCCACTATCCAATCTCTACGAAGAATTCATGCTACTATTCGATGAGCTAGAGAAGGTTATATCATCTGAATCAAAAACAGCTGACAACAAAGTCGATGAATTGAAGAAAATAATTGATGAAGCTGTGAATGATATGCACAAAGAGCCACCAAGTGCGAATGTCCCACATGACACGAACGCTACATTCCAGGGGAGAGTTCTGAATGACCTTCCAATGCAACTTTTCAGGGGGAGCACTCTACTCCACAAGAGACTCACGAAAGTCCACTCCAGGGGGAGAATCCAACACCTAAAGAAGAGACATTCACATCATTTAAGGGGGAGAAAGATAATATGAATGATGATTCGGATATACAGTCAGAATTTGAGGACATAAATGTTGAATTGGATCCTTCTTATGATCCTAATTATCCTCCTCTGACTAAATGGACTAGAGATCATCCAAAAACGCAGGTTATAGGCGAATCGTCTTTAGGAGTTCTTACAAGAGCACAACAAAAGACGAAACAAACTGCTTTATTCTCCAAAGTAGAATACTGCATGTTTAATTCGTTCATCTCCAAAGTCGAACCCAATAATGTTCAAATTGCTCTGGATCATTCGGATTGGGTACAAGCGATGCATGAGGAGCTCAATGAATTCGAACAAAACAAAGTCTGGAGACTCATTCCTACTCCAAAGGATGCATCTGTTGTAGGATTAAAATGGGTGTTTCGTAACAAGCTTGATAAAGAAGGAAACGTTATACGAAACAAAGCAAGACTGGTTGTCAATGGGTACTGTCAAGAAGAGGGAATAGACTACGAAGAGACCTTCGCACCTGTTGCTAGGTTGGAATCCGTTTGCATCTTTCTGGCATATGCGGCACATAAAAATTTTGAAGTATACCAGATGGACGTCAAATGTGCATTCTTGAATGGGGAACTTGAAAAGACAGTGTATATGTGGAGCAACCACCTGGCTTCATAAACGAGAAGTATTCTAATAACTGTTACATTCTGGACAAAGCAGTTTATGGTCTGAAGCAAGGTCCAAGGGCCTGGTACGAAACTCTCACTCGTTTTTTAAAAATGTCCAAATTTAAACAAGGTTCGGTTGACCCAACCTTCTTTCGCAAGAAAGAGGGTGACGACTTAATGATTTTCCAAATCTACGTTCATGACATTATCTTCGGATCAACAAACCCCAGCTTAACAGTTGAATTATGAAAGCTAATGGAAACGAAATTGGAGATGAGTTCAATGGGTCCAATTAACTTTTTCCTTGGTTTAAACATAAGACAGAGCCAGGAAGGTATGTTTATAAATCAGGAGGCATACACGAAGACCTTGATCGCTAAGTTTGGAATGGTGGGAGACTCAAAAACGAAGGTTCCAATGACATTCGGAACGAAACTAACACCATCTCTAGAAAAACCGGCTGTAGATATGACGCTTTATCGTCAAATGATAGGTTCTCTAATGTATCTAACTGCTAGTCGACCAGATATCATGTTTTTCGTTTGTTATTGTGCCATTTTTCAATCGAATCCTCGCGAACACCACATGGTAGCTGTCAAGAACATATTCAGGTATCTTAAACGAACATCTTCACTTGGCATATGGTATCCATCAAGCTCAGGTTTCTTTGTACAAGCATTTTCGGACGCTAATCTGCGAGGATGCGGCCTGGATAGAAAGAGTACAACGTGAGGATGCCAATTTTTGGATGGCAAGCTCGTGAATTGGCAGTCAAAAAAGCAAACTTGTGTATATCTCTCAAATGCTGAAGCAGAGTACATAGCTACTGCCTCATGAACTTCACAGGTCATTTTGATTCAAAGCCAACTTCGTGACTATGGCCTGAACATGAAACGAATCCCATTATATTGTGACTCCGAAAGTGCCATTCACATTTGTCACAATTCAGTGCAACACTCAAAGATGAAACACATAGCACTGAGGCATCATTTTATCAAGGATCATGTGGAAGATGGTAATGTTGAAATACACTTCGTGAGATTCGCTGATCAGTTAGCTGACATATTCACAAAAAGCCTTGCCTGAAACAACCTTCAAGAATTCTTCAAGGTTTAGGAATGATGGAAGTTGAATCTGTTCTGAAACCACTTTCGCTTTCACAGTGACACTTTCGCTTTCAGTTACACTTTCGCACTCGTTGTCGGAAGGATGTCATGCGAATTGGTGCGAACGCTTTCAGTAATCGCAGTCATCTTTTGTTACACGAATCGGTGCGAAAGCTCGTAGTAATTCACAACCATTTTCTCTGCAACTACTTACAAAAGCTCAAGTTTCTCACGACCCACTGTTTCTTCGCAGTTTGGAGCGTTTTATAGCCTTTTGTATATTATGTATATTTTTTTTATTCTGCTTTATTTTATTTATTTTAGTTTATTTTTTTTAAATTACAAAAATATTTAATGTTTTTGTTTTTATTTTATTTTATTTTTTTGTCTTTATTCCTTATTGAAAATCAAAAATACAAAAATATTTTTTTTCTTTTATTTTCATAAAAATATAAAATATCAAAAATATTAGATGATTGAGAAGCTTTTAAAGAAACATATTCGCATTCACTCTCAGTTCATATGATGGGGCATGTATAAATCTCTTTATCTTTGTACTAGCTAAGTGTCCCTAGAAGCATGCTGTTGCATGTTGTCTGAAGCCTCGACGACTCTATGTTGAAGCCTTAATGAATCGATTCTACCAATCGTTTCTTCCCAATCAGGCTGCAAATTCACATAAGTCATGAGCTACCATACTCTTCTCACTTTGAGCTTAGAGTTTTCTGCTTGGTCACTTTCGCATAGAAGAGGTACATTCGTTTCTTTGGAACCATCTCACATTTCTCCATCACTTTCGCATTCCTCGAGACTCTCATATATTACCACTGAGGTTTATGGTTACACAACTTCTGTGTTTATGATCTTAAATTCGGTATCACACCGAATTGAGTGAAACCCAAAATCCAACACACTTATTTGATTTGACGGTGAACAATTAAATGTTCTAGATTTTCCACCAAGGAATTAACGAAACTCCACTTTCGTGGACTGTACCAAGAAATCTATTTTTCTTTTGTGAGATCTTAATGAAACGTTCTAGACCTAAGACGTTTCTACCCAAAAGATCCAGTTTTTAATTTTTTTGAAATTTCTGCATCTATCCAAGTCACTAAAATAATTCCAAAGCTACTCGTTCAACTGACTACACTGGTCACACGAGTACTTCATCCCAACGTTCGTACTTATATCACGTTTCGGAGTTTGGTTGAAGCTAAAGCCACCTGGTAAGCCTAAAGAAAAGTTGTCTTTCACTGTTTCTTAATAAACAGGTGATCGTAATTCAACGGGGAACCACATAGACACTTCTTAGGGGCTGTTTGGCAGGATCTGAATTTTTAAGATCTGAATTTTTAATAGGGTCTGAATCTTTATGATCTGAATTTTAAAATGATGTTTGGTTGGAACCTCTGAATTATTGTGTTGAATAATAAAAATGACAAATTTACCCTTGTCTATCATTTCTTTCAATTATAATATTATACTTCCAACCATTCCTTATTAAGACATCGTATTTTAAAAACTATAACCAATTCTATCATTCTATTTGGGTAGAAATAGGAAGTACAATGTTATAAAAATAAAAATGACTATTTTATCTGTTAACTATTTTTTTCAACACCATCAATTTCACTAAAATAGCATCAAAACTCATAAAAACATCGAAATTCATAAGAACAACACCAATATTAACCAAAAGAACATTAAATCTAATAAATGTGTTCCATTTTTGCTATCAAACTATTACATATGTGTTTTGATCTACATACGTGTTCCATTTTTACCTGATATTGAAATTACTTTCACAAAAACCTCTTGATCTCTTTTGACAACATCTTTTGCATTCACGATTCTTCTTGTAGTTGTAGCCATTTGTGAGACATGAACTAAACCTTCTTTACCCTTAATATCATGATCATGAAGCTGAAAATAAAACAACCATTGTCCATAACTCTCGACACCCTCCCTTTGTGGACCTGGTATTGTTCATGTCTGTTATCATCCACCCTTTGTAGACCTCGGTTATTATCAAACACCTATATCAACCAAACAAAGGATACACCATATGATGTCTAATTATCAAACAACAACTAAAAATAATAATGCATAACACTGGATATTGAACAGAGATCAATTTGATTATGGTACTTCTAACATCATCACTTTCTTGGGTGAAAGATCATCAGTTGTCAATTTGATTATGGTTCAACTTCAAAAAGTTGTCAAAACATTGATAACCATCTATCAGTTATGTATATTTCATAAACTAAAAACATTAGTTACCAACATGCTTAACTATTAATGGTAATCCAATGACCCAACAACGCTTTTACCTGATGAAATTTTCGTTCAATCAAAATATAGATACATAAAGATACACATGAAGCTAATCGTATGAGAAAGACGACCATGGGCCTAACATGTTTCTGCTGAATTGTGAGGTGATCAATCTAGGGCTTCAATGTTGAGCTTCTTGAGCGGCTGAAAGGAGGAATTTCGTTTCTAGGGAAGCATTGTTGGAGGAGGGCTACACCGGTTGCGGGGAAGGAGGAGCGTAGCAGAGGAAAACAGTGGAGCGATGTATGTTTTCCCATTGCGGCTATTGATGGGAGGACATTGGCGGAGGAGACCGTTGGAAGCAGGGAGGATGATGGCGGTGGGAGGTGTCGATGGTGGAGGGGTCGATGATGGTGGAAGGAATCGATGGTTGTAGGAGGCGTCGATGCTGGAGGCGTCGATGGAGGAGAGCAAGCGATGGAAGGGTATTGGGAGAATGGAGGACAAGCGTGTAATTTTTTCCTTTCAGACTTCCTCCCAACACTTATTTGGTTAGATGTATTTTTAAGATTAAGATGTGAAAATAAGAGCCAAACAAACGCTCTGAATTGTAAAGATTAAGATCTACCTCTTATTAAGAGGCAATAAGAGCTAAACAAACAGGGCCTTAGTATTTCTTGACTTCGAAGGAAGAGATATTTGCCCGAGATCCACTGTTTCGTGTCTTAAAACAGACATCACTTAAATCCCACACATATGCTTTGCTTTATTTCTTTATCTTTGGCACATTCTCGCACGAAGATCCTTGTGATTTTCCACAAATTTGGTTCGTGGTACTTATACTTATTTTTAGTTTCGCAGTTCAACTCAAGTTTACGTAAAGGCAAAAGTTCGCATCTAAACGCGAAAGATGGTATGCAACTTAACTGCGAAAGGATGATGTTGATGCAACATTTTCTCATGGATAGGAATTCAAATGGGCGCGTGAAAATTTGAACGGGCGTTTCCTTTTCCGCCGCCTGACACACGTTTCTGACATAACAATTGTCAAATCACGCTTTTGCAGGCGACTTTTCAGTACCCGATACAATCTCTCTCTGTATTTCTCTCACCAAACAAACGGTATAAAGCGTTTTTTGATGATACATCTCTCTTTACCACTACCAAATACTCTCATAGATTTTCGGCGATCAAAATCTCTTAACTGTTCATCTTCTTCTTCACGAAATCATCAATGACGGGATCCTCTGAAACTCCTTGTGTTCAAGAACAAATAGGGCAGTCTTCCCTTCTCGCCATCAAGCAAAACCAAAACTTGATTCTCGATCTTGATCCTCTCAAGTACGACAGCTTCATGTTACCGATCGTTGAGTGCTTGAAATACTCACCACTGGTTAAAGCTTTGACCACATCGGAGATTGTTCTGATGTCTCTCCTGTCAAACGCTTACTCATCTGCTTGCTACATCAAGTAAGAACAACGGATCACCTTTGAAGTTCACAACCAGAAAACCTCCATCACCAAGTCCTGATTTTGTTCCTTGCTAGGGCTTGCTCAGACCGATGATATGGTAGATCCTAAACCCATCTCAATCGCCGCCATCATGGTGATGTTCTATCAAATGGGGTACAAAGAAACCCTAACTACGATTTCAAAATTCAGGAACCCAATCTTCCACCACAATGGAATAGGCTCTTTACCCTATTGTTCAAAAGCTTTTCGGAGCGTGTGACCGGGTCGGACTGTGCCAGTAAGTTGTTTATGATAATTATGTGTGAGAACAAGATCGATGCGCAGGGACAAGGTTTAAAAAAACTCAAACCTTGAGTGAAGCTTGAGATCAATGTCTGCTTGCTAATGGATGTTCAAGTCGAGTCTGCTAGTGTTCCGCAGACCGTCTAGAACAGTCCATGGTTGTCATCCCTACTCTGCTGAATGACGGGGGTCAACGTTGGGTAAGGGCTTTTCTCATATTGCACCACTCACGCCAACATCTGGGTAAAAGCTTTTCCCATATTTCACCACTCACTTTCAACTCATGATCTATATCACTGATCATCTCATCTATCCAACTCACTTTTCATCACACACCCACTATTTAACTCATGATCTATATCACTAACTCATGAAGCTCGTCCGATCACTTCATAAAAGAACAAAGACTCCAAAGCGCGCATGTGTTCGCACGTGGGCTGCGCATGTGTTCGCACGTGGGCTGCGCATGCGAGGGCCTCGCTGGAGGCTTCTGATTGGACCACTTCGGACGACTCTCCGGGTTCGGACACGCTCCTGATGACACACCGAGATCGGACACGGGGCAGCCTCCTATTGGACCGAACCTCGGACTCGAGAAGAAAGTGACACGCCTTGCCAGGTGGCTTTGGTGACTCAGCAGTTTTCGGACACGCGTCGGATGCGAAGCGAGGACACGTGGCCGAAGTCCACGTGTGCGAAATTCCTCGGTTTTGGGGATTTTTCTCGATTTTCGCGCCAAATCTTATAAAATCCATAACTTTTGCATACGAGCTCCGTTTTGACGTTCTTTATATGTACGTGTAGGTAAATTACGCTCTACAACTTTCGTTTAGACTTCGTTGGCTAATTTTGACTTTAATTTTTAAATTATTATTTTTAACAGACCGGGACAGGAAATCCGTTAAAAATTCATAACTTCTTCATCCGACGTCCGTTTTCGTCAGACTTTTTACCGTTGGGCGTTCTTTTTATACCTACTCTCGGTTTAACGAACACTACGAGTTTCGTTTAGATCACTAAGGCTAAAAAGTAGTTTATCAAAAACTCACTTTTTACGACATTCGGCACCGTGCCGATTTATCATGAAACTTCGACAGGCCATAACTTCTTCGTTATAACTCGGATTTCGGTATTCTTTATATATCCGTAATCCTTGTCACGCCCACTACAAGTTTCTTAATAGATATTGGCTTTATCTAATATTTAATTTTGACGCTCATTTTTTTTCTTAATTAATTAAACCCTAATAATTAAGCATAAAACACATAATTCACATAATATTCACATAATTCCTTTTCATTTCTTCTAAATGAGTTACAAAGGTTAACCTAGACCATTATGTCAATATTAATGCCTAGCCTAGAAACACGGGCGTTACAACTCTCTCCCCCTTAGAATGATTCCGTCCCCGGAATCACACATCAGCAAACAAATACGGGTAGCGACTCCTCATGTCACTCTCCGTTTCCCAGGTGAAATTGGGCCCATTCGTATGTTTCCAATGCACAAGCACTAAATCGACCATTTTTATATCACAACTTCCTAGTCTTACGATCAACGATTGCCTCAGGTTCTTTAATCAACCTCTTGTTCTCATCCAACCTTAATTTAGAAATGGGAATTATGTCGGGCACATCTCACGTAAATTTTCTTAAATAACACACACGAAAGGTGTTATGAATACCCTCTAGTCCTTCCGGTAATTCTAGCTTGTAAGCTTGATTCTCGATTCTTAGAAGAACTTTAAATGGTCCAATAAACCTTGGACTCAACTTTCCCCTTCTACCAAATCTTATAAGTCCCTTTCACGGCGAGACTTTAAGTAAAACCGAATCTCCAACTTCAAATGATATCGGTTGTCTTTTCTTGTTAGCATAGCTCTTTTGAGCAGCTAACCTCCTTTCCCTAATCACTTTCAACTTTTCAGCAGTCTGATGGACTATTTTAAGTCCCATAAACTGCTTTTCCCCAGCTTCCAGCCAACATGATGGTGTTCGACACTTTTCTCCATACAAAGCATGATAAGGTGCCGTCTTGATGCTTGAGTGGAAACTATTACTATAGGAAACTTCTACTAGAGGTAAGTGTTTACCCCAGTTACCTTGGAATTCCAGGGTACATGCTCTCAGCATATCCTCCAATGTTTGAATTTTTCGTTCGCTCTTACCATCGGTTTGTGGATGGTAAGCTGTATTCAAACACAACTTGGTACCCAATTCCTCTTATAGACTCCTCCAAAATCTCGAGGTAAAACGGCTGTCACGATCGGATACAATCGTTAACGAAACACCGTGAAGCCTCACACTTTCCTTCACATAAGAATTCGCAAGTTTATCCATAGACCATTTCTCGTTGGCTACTATGAAATGCGCACTCTTAGTGAAGCGATCAACGACCACCCAAATCATGTCGTGACCGTTCCTTGTTCTGGGCAGTTTAGTCACAAAATCCATAGTGATACCTTCCCATTTACCCATGGGTACAGGTAAAGGATCTAAACTCCCATACAGTTTCTGATGCTGTGCCTTAACCCTAGCACAAGTTACACACTCAGCTACATACTTAGCAACATCAAGCTTCACCATCGGTCACCAGTAATAGGGTTTTAGATCCCTATACATTTTCGCACTGCCGGGATGAATCGAGTACATGGTTTTGTGAGCTTCTTTCATCAGAAGACCTCTTACTCATCCCATCCTAGGTACCCAAATCCTACCTTTGAATACCTTCAGTCTTTGACCTTTTGTATCAAACACCAACGTTTTATCCCAAACGTTCCTCCTTTCGGTCATTTTTCTCTAAAGCTTCCTCCTGAGCTTTCTTTTATACTTCCCATTTGTAGAGACAACTTCAATTCTCAACGCTCTTGGCCTCTTCCTTTCAAGATTCACCTTCCGACTGAGAGCATTAGCAACAATACTTGCTTTACCAGGGTGGTAAAGTATCTCACAGTCGTAGTCCTTGAGTAACTCTAGCCAGCACCGTTGCCTCAATGCATACGCTATCACTTTATCCCTTTGGATCAGAACACAACTTAACCCAACTTCTTTAACAACGAACGCGATACTTCTATTGATCGCTTTGATCAGCCTTTACTTCAATTCGGCTTAAGTCAACTGCTACATCGAACTTGGTTCTCTGAACCACATAACAAACTCATCGTAGTCGGACTCAATTTGATATGACCACTAGGGTCGGAATAACAATCGTCTTCTTAGTCATTACCGAAACGATGGTAACGACAGACTAGAATAAGATGGAATCAATTACGAGTTCCTTGGTAACCTTGTGACTTTCCCTGATCCAAGTGTGAGTCCTGTGCTTCCAGTAGTATAGATCTCTACTACTATTCACACCTACTCATACTCGTCCCAAGTACTGTCTCGCAGTCCCCAAGTCCTAAAATCACAAAACAATTTAACACACACGAATGTGTCCAATTAATCATAAAATTTGCCTAGACTCTACTAGGACTTCTTTCATGCGTATCTTCAGTCATCAATTCTACTTCAACTTGGTTGGTGATGGAAATTCCAAATGATGGGACAACTTCAGGAATTACACCAATCGTTCCATCATCCTGCCAATCGAAGGTGTACTTCAGACGTACCATACTCCTCTAAACGTTTCATGATTTTATCAAACATATTCTAAGA